TTGTTCCAAAACTTAAAATTTGCATTAAAAAAATCTAAAAAAAAATAAATGACAATTAATAAAGTGTTTATTGGCAGCAGTAGACCTGCGAGAACCCAAACGTATTAACTCTTTGCTGCCAAAACTCCGTATGGGTTTTATAACCAGCTGATCGGGCTAACGCGTATCCACAGCACCGTGTTTTATTTATTGGATATCTTTTTTTTTTTTGGCAAATTGATAACCGAAGTTTAACACAGAAAAACAACAGGAGTTCAAATCCCGGTGCCCGGCGGGACTTTTAACTAGGCATAATTCCCCCGTCTCTCCCTCGGCCTGGAGAGTACCCCGTGTATCCTAAAAAAGGCAATTAAGGGGAGACAAAAAAAAAGGTTGGTAGGTGGTGCTATTTTGTAATTAATGAATTATCATTACGGTTTAGAATGGTTCTTCATGGTGTTCCTTCCTCCCTTCACCGAACCCCCTTGTTGGGCAGTTTAAGGCATCTATTTAGCCATCTTAGGGTTTTTCAGTAGATAAAAATAACAATATTCTTCTGATTAACAGCTCTGGCTAGCTATCAGAACCTTTATCTTTCCTCTATGCACCCTTGGTTCCTAGGAGGTTATCTTCATCTGATTGCCAAGAAATGACAGCTGCGTTGTTGAGATTTCATCATTTATTACAATGAAAGATGGACCTGGTAGTGTCCAACTTGTTAACAGACAATGCAATCATTTGAAGCCGCATCTTATCACCTATTTTCATCAAATTAATTTTAAAATCTCTTAATACACTTTTTTTCTCTTTTACATGATCATTTCTGACATATAGAGGACTTATTCTAGATATATAACTAAACCTGTTTTAATCAGAGTGAAAAAGTCGAAATTTTACTCTACGGATCCACCACGAAAAAATGTAACATAAAATTTCCATTGAGTATCTAAAATTGTCCAGAATTAGAGAAAAATTCTTATCAACTCAACTATGACAAAGCTGTCAACGCTTTAACATGCTAGCTCCTTGCCTATATCCTTACTTGGAAACTAACAATTATTAAAATAATATATAAACCCAGCTCCGATATACCCATCCTCTTACCGTCCTATCTCTCTTTTACCCATCATGGGAAAAAATCTGGAAAACTTATCTTTAAACGCCTTATTCCATCCTAAATTCTGATCACACAATCCCACACCAAAAATTTGGATTTCGCACATCTCATTCCATTATCCAGCAATATTGTATTGCACGGAAGTCTTTCTCGACGTTGAACAACCGTTTGCACAAAATCCATAAATTCCTACCATCTACATATTTCCTCATTATCCGCTCCTTCCTTACTCATAGATGCTTTAAAATAAATCACAAAAGCTTTTATTCATCCCTTTTTTCCCAGTCTGTTGTTGTTCCTCAAGATAGTATCCTTGGTCCTATCCTTTACACAGTTTATAAAGCTGACATCCCAATCCATCATGATACTGTCATCAACACGTATGCTGATGACACATGTATCCTATCTGTTAATAATGATCCATCAACTGTATCCCAAACTCTCCAATCACATATCACAAATCTTGAAGAATTGTGTAAAAACAGGAGAATTAAAACAATTTCCAATAAATACCATCAAATTATCTTTATCCTGCGTTGCAAACCTATGACCTCCTGTCCTACAGTATCCTTTCACAATTCTCCACTTATCCCAGTTGAACAAATCCGTTACCTAGGACTCCATCTGGACAAACGACTCACATGGAATCCTCATACAAGACTGAAACGACAAGAAACCGCTCGACGTTTCCGTCTACTCCAGCATTTACTGACAAACACTCTAAGCTTTAAATCAATTACAAAGGATTTATATATATGACAACAATAAGACCTATTTGGACTTACGGAATTGAGTTTTAGGGCTCCATTAAACCATGAAATTCCTCCCGTATCCAATTCTTCATAAAATTCTCAACTCTCTGTCACAAATAAAATCATCCATAAAGATCTTAATGTACCATACGTTTTCCGATTTCGCCCAATCGAGATACCTATTCTTCCATAACAAACTCCAGAACAACCCGAGCTCCCTCGTTTCAAACCGTTTCCTCCTCGATCCCTGATAACCCTCCAAGCCGTCTGAAAAGAAGGTGGCCTCGTGATCTTCTTGTGTAAATTTATTATTTCAATGCTATCAGTGGGTAGTTTCTCGACAAGCGAATGTATGTTATTTACTTTTTTTTTTTCTTTTTTTTAAACTTTCTTTATTGAATATTAATACATTCTGCCACATTGAAGGGCATTAATATTAAGGCTACATGATTCATTTACACAATATGTACATACAATTAATATCAATAATAAAGAAAAAGAAATATAAAAAAAAATAAAATAAGTAAATTGGTATGCCTGTGTACAAAAACAAATAATGAAATAATAGATAAAAGCTAGATGAAATTAAAGTAAATAAATCACATTCACAATGTTATTTACTAGTTGTATTTTTTTATAATACAGTTGTAAATGCTTGCCCATGCTTGCCCATGTTTACGGCCTAAAGTAAAAAATGTATACGGTATTTTTCAAAATCTCATGAATACAACTTCTTTAGGAACTCATGAATTCAGTATGCTGCTGAAGATCCCTTCACTCCCATCTTGTCATTAATGTCTGGTACCTCTGTGTCTTTCTCTACATCGACTGCAGCTTCACAGAACTTTTTTTATAGTGCCACTATTATGTAAATTTCCATCCCTATAGAAATTTTAAACGTTTGTGAACGTGATTTGGACGAAATGACAAGCTGTATTAAAATCTATTTTACATCCTACCCCACCAATATCTGAAAGCACCAATAATCATTTGCTACAAATTAATTGTCTTGGGCCCAGTTCTCTACATCCTCTTCACTTCCGATATCCCTTCAAATCCCGATACATTTCTAGCTACATTTGCTGATGATACTGTCATTCTATCCTCCCACTCAGATCCTCAAATAGCATCTCTAAACCCACAATCTCACCTCTCCTTGATTGAGCAGTGGTGCAACAACTGGCGCATCAAAATCAATGAATCAAAATGCAAACATATCACTTTCACACTCCGATGCAGATCCTGTCCGCCAATCCTTTTTAATTCAATTCCACTTCCCTACTCAGACAAAGTCCGTTACCTTGGCTTCCTTCTTGACAAAAGACTAACTTGGAACCCACATACCAGACTTAAAAGACAAGAACTTAACCGACGATATGGCCAGCTGTATAGATTACTAAGTAGGACATCCCATCTTTCGATTGAAAACAAACTTTTAATCTACAAGACCATACTGAAACCTATCTGGACCTACGGACTTGAACTGTGGGGAACGGCTAAACATTCGAATATCAAACGCGTCCAATCCTTCCAGTCCAAAGTACTCAGAACAATAGTAAATGCCCCATATTATGTCACAAACAAGACCCTACACCATGATCTTAACATCCCATTTGTCCTCGACATCATCCCATCCAGATTCTCAAACTTTCACCAGAATGAGGGATAACATCCAAATCCTCTAGCTCAATCCCTATCCAGCTCCCTTCATCCCTACAATCCTCCACGAAGGTTAAAACGGCAGTGGCCCAGAGATCTCTTGTAAATATGCTTCTGGAGTCCTGGCAATGGCCAGCTTCTTCACTCATGTCCTGACCGTCTGTGGCGCTAGTGCCCTCTTTCAGTCTCCACTGGCTTCTAATACTAGTGATGCGGCTGGAAAAGTGGCACTGGGTTCTCCTGGAGTCTTGCTTTGCCTTCCACATGAGGGAGAAAAAGCCTGGCTCGGAAATTCTTGGGCGAATGTATATATTGTATATAGGTATGATTGTGTTTAGAAGTTTCTATTTTATGTTATTTGTTTACTTTTTTTTTCTTTTATTTACTTTATTCATCAGTATTATTTATTTACTTTTTATATTTATATTTATTTCTCTATTATGTGTATGAATGAGAACTCTTAGCCCAAATACTTATAGCCCTCCAGCAGTGGCTGATTGTATTATTATTCAATAAAAAAAAAACAATAAAAAAAAAATAATAAAAAAAATTAATTCACACATTTTATCAAAATCATCACCTTGGAGCAAATTATTTGCAAGAGTTTTCATGCCCTTTTCTCAATTAAGAGAATACCACCAATATGAAAATTATAATTCAAGTTGCGAAAATGTCCTTGAATTAGCACGGAACCTCCACAAGAAGCCTCGTGTCGCTTTCAGTGACCTGATTTATAAACGATTTGCCACATTTGGTGGACACGAGGCTGTTGGTGAGAATTCATGACTAAATGCAGGTTACCTTGTGTACCATTTGTAATTCTTAATAAGATGAAATTTCACTTAAGGTAAAATAGGCAACTATAAATTGAGAAAACAGGCTCGAAATAAATAACTATAATATGATTTGTTGGGTATATTGTCCTTGGAAAACATATTTAGTAATAAGATCATTATTGATAAAACCGTATGCTCTATCAGTGAGTTTCTATTTTCCTCTGATTTCGATTGGAAAAAAAAGTTAAATACAATGATTTTCAAATATTTATCATCTAAAAGGATAATGTAACAGCGTTCTTGTTATAGAAATCGGTCGTTTTTATAAGTGACCAACTAAATGTTTCCAATGCTAATGATTAGGTTTAAAATAAAGAAACCTTCCGTTTGCTTTAATTATATTCATAAAAACTTAAATATTAGGATCAGGAACATCAAGTTGATCACTTATAAATATCGATCAATTTCTATGATTGAGATTTTAATTTAAAAAAAAAACAGTTTATTATATCTTACGATGAAAAATATTCGGAAAATTATTATTTAAATCTTTTCTTTTACTAATAATAACTATATTTTGAATTTATGTTTATTATACTACATCCCAGATAAGTGAAAAAAATAAATAAAAGTTTTGCAATAACATATTGTAGTCAGTTTTGCTAAATAATAAATAATATTAACAGCATAAGTTTAATAAAAAGAAAGTCTTTTGATAAATAACTTAAATTTATTTTGAAAAAAATATAAAAGATACACAACAGATTGATTGCAGAAAAACAAACCATCCACTTAACAGAAGAAACCAAATAAGTAAAACTTCTATGTAAAAATAAAATAAGAAATTTTAAAACAAAAGATTCAAAATAAAACAAAAGACCAAACAATAACTGTATAATAGGGTGTATAAAAAAATTACTGCTTTTCAACCAAATATTATATTAATATTTCTTTGATGTAAAATACAATTAATACTCAAAGCATAGTCCAATGTTATCTACCGGCATTAGCTATGTGCTAGCCAATTGCTCGATTCCACCCTGATAACATTCTATGGGATGGCTGTCAAAGACCTCTTGGACCGCAATTAAAACTTCCGAAAAATTATCAAATTTTTTCCCTTGAAGAAAATGGGCCATGGGTCTGAATAAGTAGTAATCCGATGCTGCGAGGTCTAGACTACACAGTGGATGAGCCAAGAGCCTTATATCAGAAGGGGTTTCCAATAAATTTTTACAAAATTCTAGTCCCTTAGCTAATTGCTGAGGAGTAAGTTCGTGAGGGACCAGTCCACTGCTCTTTTTCATCTGTCCCATGGCGACTAACAGAACAACACACTCCCTGTCATGTTCGCGAGAAGTCGTAGACGAATTTGACTCAACAGCTTCCTGCAGAACCTCATTAATATCAATTAGTGGTCACCCGGAGCCCTTCTTTCTCTCCAACGTCGTATCTCCACTGCTAAATTTTTCCAACAAGCGCCGCGGAGTGTGCTGGTCAAGGATGCATTCCCCTTCATATTTAATAATTTCAACAGTTGCTTCAGCGGATGTGAAATTTCTTTTTTCTAGAAGTGTCTTAAAATTACGAGTTTCGTAGGACAATCATCATTCTTCTTTGAAACAAATAACTAAACTGAAGCTTTTTTTTTTTTTTGAAGAAGTCGAATAGGATTATTAAGTATTGTTGAGTATTAAAAAGGATCAAAATATGTACAGTCCTTTGAAATCTTGAATTTGATAGAACGTTCTTTTTTTTTTTTATACACCCTATTAGCATCATTAACAATCGTTGTTTGGATAGGGCGAAGAATAGAGATGATTGGCATGCTATAATCCAGGAATCCAAAGCACGCCCCGGGCTGTAGAGCTGCATAGTAAGTAAGTAAGCAAGTAACAATGGTTGTTTACTCTCGAATCACACTCATAATAAAGTTACCTGAAAAATATATATCCAAATTTTATAAAATAATATAGTTTTCATTCGGTATGTTATCAAATTCTTCTACAGTTTATATTGAGATTTTTTTAATTATTACTGACAATGCGGGACAGTTAATTATTTGAAATAATCCAAATTGAGGTACTTAAAAAAAAAACATTTTGAACATCAGGCATTTCAACCTTGTTCGGCGACATCAATGAATATAAGACCTAGCTGATTTAAAGATCATTTCATTGTGCATTCACAAACAGAGTTGATTTAAAATTGTTAGAGCCGTTTTTGAGAAAATCATAAAAATCGATGGGTATAAAGTGGTCACTTCCGGTTAACCGATTTCAAGGAAAAGATTTTAAGTAAATAACTTAAATATGTAAATCCATTCTGAAAATTCATACCCCCAATGAAATTTGCCACCTTCGAAAATTCAAAATCCCTTCAAAATATGCCCCCCTTAAAAAGTTAGCGCAACTTGAGCCATAAAACCCCTTTCTGGGCACCTCTGGGGATTACAGTTTCTTAAACAACGGTTGTGCATGAAGGTAATTCGACCGAGACCAGTTCCAGATTCATGTTTGTTTTTTTTGGGAGTAACTTTTTTATTTGAAACGGTAATTACTCTGGAAGAAAAAAAAAGAAAGAAACTATATTAAATAATGTCTAAGTTTCCGACTGCTCCAACACTTACTAGACAAACGCTCTAAACTTTCAATTGATTACAAAAGACTTATCTACTAACTATAATAAGACCTATATGGACATACGTAGTTGAGCTTTGGGGCTCCACCAAACCATCGAATTCCTATCGTATCCAATTCTTACAATTCAAAATTCCCCGTAAAATCCTTAATACTCCATACTTTATCACAAATAAAACCATTCATAAAGACCTTAATGTATCATATGTCGCTGATTTAGCTCGAGCAAGATATCTATCCTTTCATGATAAACTTCAGTTTCATCCAAATCCGCTTATTTCCACTCTTGCTTCTTCCTCGATCCATGATAATCCTCCTAGGCGTCTGAAAAGGAGATGGTCTCGTGATCTTCTTACTTAAAATTATTTAGGGTGTGCTACCACTGGGTAGTATCTCTTCAAGCCTGTACATGCCATTATTTATAATTTGCGCATATTTACTTCATACCCATCGATTTTTATAATTTTCTCAAAAACGGCTCTAACAATTTAAAATCAACTCTGTTTGTCAATGCACAATGAAATGATCTTTATATCAGCTAGGTCTAATATCTAGTTGTATTTGTATACTGTTGTAAATAAACAAAAAACAAATAATGTCTAAGATGATCTTTAGATAGAAGGCCATCTCAAAAAAATAAATAAAAGTTTTTTTCTGTATTAGACTATTTGAAGACGGGAACGTGAGAGCACAGAGTCTTACTCACTAAGATACTTCTACCCCTATAAAGGTCTTAACAAATGATCGCCCTCAAAACTAAAAGTTAGAAATGTTTGTAAAAGAATTTACTTTTATTTTTTTTATATATTTAAAATATCAGTAAGCAGCAAGTACGAATGAATCTTGAAACTGTATCATGACGAGAGTCATGAATATCTTAAACTGTTTGCATTCATTAAGTTGTAATATCATCTATATCAACAACGATAAATATAATGTAAACAATATTAACTCCTGTCATGATAACAGTCCGTTATTCTCAGATTCCCATTTCTCCATTGTCGGATAGAAACAATGCCTCAAGTACATCCGAACGGTAGGAGCAAAACGAGATAAGGAGGGATGACTTGGCTCTAAATTAGAGCCGGTTTAGTCCTCTAAATCAGTCAACAGCCAACCGTGAACTAGAGATGGCTGCCAAGATACTCTACGGTGGTGAGCTGCATCTCCCCGACATTCCTCTTATGCAGGAGGTCATCGAATCCTGCAAGAAGCATGGGGATCGAATCTTCTTGGTATGCTCAGGATACTGTATAGATTAGTATTGTATATGAATCAACGTATCTTTGCTTTGACTTAACTTAACACTTGAGGTGTCCCATTTAAAAATTAATTACGTCCGAGAGTGAGATTTACAATTACGACGTTTACGATTTACAATTAGTGTATGAATACAGTTTTTTAAATGTATTTCAGCTCTATTTCTGGTTGAGACGGGTTTATCAGAACCTCATAATTATTAGTTGCGGTGTCAGTTGAAAGAGTGGTAGTTCAACTTTCCAACGGTTGCAACTACTTTGAATTTGAATTAAAAAATCCTGAGGAGCTGTAAATGCTTTAATGAATGTAGAAAAAAAAAAAAAAATCAGGTCCAAAAGTATATATTGTTTTAATCCTATAAATTTATAAGTTAGATGGTTCAAACTACTGGAGTAGAACTAGAAAATGTTTTAAAACAATTAAAGCTCAAAATAATGAAAAATATATTTTATTATATTTTAGGTATTTTTAATTTGCTGTTGGTTATATTGTAAATTTTTATGTGTACCACATACACTAAATATTAACTATCAATATTTGAAAAAATAAAAAAATTAAAAAATATATATATTTTAACGAAAAAAATGCTAAATAAATAATCCTATCATTCCTAAGGAAATTTAATACAAACTACTTTAATGCTTTGATAGATTGTTAGAGAAATTGACTTATTATTAAAACACTTTATTCAGAAATATTACAATTTGTCACAGTTTAAGGACACTTATAATAGAGTTCAGAGATTGCATTCATACCGTATATACAAAAATATAAATAAATAAAGTAATAAAAAAGAATAAGAAAAAAGAACAAAAGAGTAAAGAAAAAAAAAATATATATACACATAAGTAAATAAAAATAGAAATAAAAGTAAAACAAACACCTTATATAAAACATACCTATATACATTATTTACAATTTGCCAGGTGATCTCCGAACCAATCCTGTCCCCTCCACATGTGGAGGGAAAAGGGAGGCTTAGGAGATCCCTACGCTTCTCCCTCAGCCACTTCACTGGTATTTTAAACCAGCGGAGGATGAGTAAGAGCGCTACAGCCACAGACACTCATGACTTGAGTGGAGAATCTGGCCATTGCTAGAACTCCAAAATATCCATATTTACAAAAGGTATCGTGGCCACTGCCGCTTTAACCTACGAAGGGGATTGTAGGGATGGATGGTGCTTGATAGGGATTGTACAACGGGATTTGGGTGATGAGAAAGGTTCTGGTGAAATTTGGAAAATTTGGCTGGGATAAGATCAAGAATAAATGGGATATTAAGGTCATGGTGTAGGGTTTTATTGGTTACATAGAAGGGAGCATTGACTATTGTACGGAGGACTTTAGACTGAAAGGATTGAATGCGTTTGATGTTAGAAAATTTGGCTGTTCCCCATAGTTCTAGTCCGTAAGTCCAGATGGGTTTCAGTATTGTCTTGTAGATCAGTAATTTGTTTTCACCAGAAAGTTTAGATTTTCTATTCAGTAGTCTATATAGCTGGCCATATCGTCTGTTAAGTTCCTGTCTTTTAAGTCTAGTATGTTGATTCCATGTTAGTCGTCTGTCTAAGAGAAAGCCAAGATACCGGACTGTATATATGAATAGTTAAACTTTAAAAAAATGAATGTGTTGGGGAAGGCATCCGAATAATACACCAATGTAAAGTATTCATTAACGTTAAGATCCCAAACAATCTGACAAAGTATTTTAATAGATAATAAATTACATTCTTTTGAATTAGATTAGGTTATGGTGGTCGATTTTGTTATTTAATGAATAGCATCCTAATCTCTGGATTTTGGAACAAAAGAGTTCTGCTAAAAAAAACAACCAATTATCCATTCTTCTGTTTTCATTTATTTCTTACACGGGCAACAAAGGTCTTCAGTAGGTGATGGTCCCTTTTCGAGCTCTCGTGTGGTCGCAAACTGGAAACCTTTATCGTAACTATATATTATAGTTTCACCATTAAATGAAAGACTAAAACCTTATTCTAGGGATTCCTTCCTTCAGAATCCTCCCTTCAAGATGAATATCATATGAATCATAACGATCTATTGACTTTACTTCTAAAGTTACCGTATTACTGTACTAATATTAAATAAAACACTTAATCTCTCCTATCATGTACCTTGCAGGATGACGTTAAAATGAAGAAGCAGTCCACCTTCCGCCAGCTATTAGACAACGCAGGTGCAATAAGCTCAACGATTCGAAAGCTCGGCCAGGGTCCAGGAAAGATAGTGATGATCGTGAGCGACGTTACAGTCGAAGCTGTGACCACTAACTTTGGGATCTGGCTATCTGGAGCAGCTTCGTCGTCCATCAATCCAAACCTTCCAAAAGGTAATGTATTATTTCCTTACATAAAATATTTTCTAAAACATACAATGCATATTACGAATAGTTATCATTGTTAACAAGATGAGGGATATCGTCCTTGATGATATACTTCTATCCGTGAATTCAGTTTCTCTCGCTATGTCTCAAATATTGAAAATAATAAACTGAAAACCTAAATTATCTCAAGTCAAAGTCTATTGATATCCTGTTATTCAACATGTTAGCTTATTTACAAACACAAACGTCTTTATAATTAAACAGTAACAGTTTCTTAAATTCTTTTAATGATGACTTACGTGAATAATTTGGCAGTTTTTAATGGCTTATTGCTGTATCGTAAGCCACCGTTTAAAAAAAATGCATGGTTTTACTTAACGAGACTTAATTTTTCAAAAGTTCCAGTCAAAATTTTATGTTTTTACTTACTTTCGATTTCTTAATTTATTTGCAGAGGAAATTCTCAACTTCTTTAAAATCTGCAGAAGCGAAGTAGTGTTCTGCGGCGACGAGTACCAAGAGAAGGTGAAGGAGGTGGTATCGCTTCTCGACTGGGCCGTCACCATCATATGTCCGAACCATCAAGATGGGGTCCTCGACTATTACAGGTGTCTAGAAGAAGGGAACAGTGCCGAAGGCACCGTGCTGGAAGGATGGTGGACTGGAAAAGATCATGCTTTATGCATCTTGTTCACTAGCGGAACCACTGGCTCGCCCAAAGGTGTCTTAGTGAGAGATGAAGCTCTCACATTCTGCAGACATCTAAGAATTTGGTAAGAACATTAAAAGTTTATAAAAAAAAATGTTTAAATAGTAACTACATATTAAGCTGAAACATATGAAAATTCAGTTCCTATAGTATAAAAAAAATATTTAAAAAAAAATAGACTGGAACGATATTATTTGTATTCAAATGACCGAGTTGCTTCGAACAAGAAATAAAGAATCAACAATGTAGATATTAAGAATAATATTTGCAAGCTAAAGGAAGTTATTTTTAAAAACAATAATATTCTTAATGTTGTCCAATCAATATATTGGATTGAAAATATTTTATTACTAAACGTATTACGTTATGGAAGATATTGGACAGGAGAATTTGATGTTCCAACCGTTTCGTATATATTATCATAGATTTATAACAATGCCTTTGGTTTTATACCGATGACATGTGTCTGTTATCAGTGAATAATTAACCTTTGATTAAATATAAAAATCGTAGAAGAAATTTTTCTTAACTGGATGATTAAAAAAATCTGGTGTCCACTCACACGACTTTCCTATATATTTCAGGAAAGTTTTATATCTTTAAATATGTCCTTTAAATGTGTCCTTTAAATATGTGTATAATTAAGAAACAAAAAATCGAATTAGATTTATTTTCCTGAAATCTGATCAAAGAAAAGATTTAAGTACGATTTCTTCGATAAACTAAAGCAATGTAAACCGGTATATGAAAGATCAGTGTAAAAAAAATCAATTCACTATAAAATTTTTAATCAAAAACTTTTTTCATAGCCCAATTTTGTCAGACAATAATTTCTGTTGTAAGTAGAGGAAATAATGAAACTTGTGTAATGCGATCACTAAATTTTTTTTTATTTCCCCTTACTTTTCTTTTTTCTCTGTCCCCTTTCTGGACAACGGGATCTGAACTTATAATCTTACATGAGAAATTCAATAGCTGTATCTTCGTTAATAGTTGTCCGAAATAAGCGATTTTTATTTAGTTTTGTAGGGGAAAGTGTTTTTCGGGGGCTCTGAAAAGTACAGATACACGGAAATTTAATGAATATTAATTTAAAAAATATAGGAAAGTTTAATCAAAATCGTTAGCCATTTATGCACTACAGTCTATAGAAAAATATGTTTTTCACTTATTGCTCAGGGAGCACCCAATTTGTGTTACAGGCATCTGTAATCAAAACGCTACAAAATAGAAAAAGAACAACAAAATCTGTCTACTAGTTCCCGAGATAATCTTGGCACAGACAGACAGACCGATGGCTTAACATGTGTTTTTCCGACTCGGGAGGCTGTGAAACCCACAGATCCGTCGAAAAACGTACATTGGAAATTTTACCCGGTCGCAATACTTTCCTTGCCTAGTATAAGTAGGAAAGTAATCAGACGCAATAAATTCCAGGAAATCAGAACCCTTCTTCGTTTACAAAACCTATAAGATGGTGGTAACACCATCATTTAAACTAATGAATGGGAGAGCAATGCCATCACCCCTGTCCTCAAGAAAAGAAGTTCAAGCGACTGTGGAATCTACAGGTCTACATGTTGTTTCCATGTTGTTTATAATCTATACTCCTCTATTTTGATAAGGAGTCTTAAAATCAATTGTTGTATGCGAGTTACAATAGGAACAGGCTGCATTTAGATGACATCTGCTACAAGACCACATCTCGCTCGAGATGACGTGAGAAAAGGAAGAGCTGGAGTATCCAGAATGAGGTTTTATGGCTCAAGTTGCGCCATCAAAATTTTTGACGAGGGCATATTTTAAAGGATTTTTGAATTTTTGCGGGATGCCGATTTCAACGGGTTTATAAATTTTCGGAATCAAAAGTTTCAGAATAAAGAACAAGAGGAAAGCATGGAACAGACCATCGCAAGTTTAATTGTGTATGATCTATGATTTTACGAATTCTACTTCCTCTTGCTCTGTTTTTAAGAAAAATGAGCAGTAAAATACCTTGGGAGAGGCAAGTTCTTGCGCCATTGACCTTGGAGAAAGATGGATGGATAGCCCTGAGGAAGAGTATTTACATTATGCAAAACAAGTAAAAATGTGCCGATTGATTATTATAATTGCTCTAATATCCACTTTCAATGGATCTAAAGGTATAATTAGAATAAATAAAAAGAATCAGGGATAATCGAAGAGGTTGGACAAGGTAATATAGCCTTGGTCGCTTTCTTTTTGTCGTAGTCATGGATTTTTTTAAAAAAATATGCAAGCACGGGACTAAACGGTAAAAAAAAAAAAAGCATGATAATTAATTTAAGAAGAGATGCAAGGTTGTGTACATTTGTCACTAGAAAGATAAGACAGTTCGCTGTAAGGAGTAAATTCTAATCAGAGGTGCACTCTTATACTGGTTCAATGCATAGCAGATATTAAAAAACTGCATTTAAAAAACTCTGAAAATTATTACACTGTGGTTTATTATTTCCAAACATTAATACATCAGAAGTAACATTACTTTCCTTACTTAAAGGAAAATAAATAAAAAGTGATTCCTAATATTGGTCTAAATATTTTTTTTTTCCATTATGGATGTAACTCTTTCAAAAAATCAAAAACCAGAACTAAGGATATAAACTTTGCAACAGAATATATGAAAGCTATTTAGAACACCATATATTTGCACCACTTCAGCCCTCAATTTTTATATATATATATATAAAACGATAATTACTTTAGAATAAAAATAAAGATACTATCTGAAATGGTGTACTAGTGATTCTTGAAGTCCTATTAAATGTAATTACACGAACAATAATACTTTCAGTATTTTAATTTTTTTGTTATGAGACATTGTTATATTTTACCATTTTGGAGGAGAGGAAGGGGCTATATAGTCCGAAAGCCCCTCCCAGAAGATCCGCCTGTGACCCTGCTTGAGGGAAACTTTGGAAAAGAGGCAGTATGGGCTTGGTCATGAATGAAGATCTGGATCGAGAAGGCCTATAATTACGGCCGTACAACATTTCCAGAATTGGATAGAACACAGTTTGAACTTTATGAAAGCAATGGCTAGGTATTGTGATGTCGGCTTGGACCGAAGCACCTCCAAGCTAAGAGACACATAGAAGAATAACAACCTTTTTATTCTTAGTATGTAATTACTTTTTCAATTAAGCCTGAATTAATACAACCTATTAATGGAGGAAAGTTTCGTAAACTAAGATAAGATTTCCTACATTGCTATATCGATACCATATCTTTACTCCTACAGATCATTGAATACCAATATATACGTATTAACATGTAATATATACGTATTTACGTCCTTAAGATTTGTCTTCGGTACATCGAGGCGGTCTCATGTGTCCCACCTTTACGACGAGTTAAAGTGGCTCTTCCCTTCTTTCCGCAGACAATATTTCCTTGGACCTTTCCTATTCCAAACGGTCAACACCCGACACCCTTCCTACATCTACAGTCTCCTACAGTTTAAACCCGTAGTCCACTCCCAGAAAACAAGATCCCGTGTTTCCGACCTTTATATTCCTTCCCATAGAACTAAGACGTTTGAATATTCCTTTATTGCCCGATCCACTGCCTTCTGGAATTCCTTGCCTTCTGATATCCGCCATACCTCTTCCTTGTCCTCATTTAAATATCATCTTTACCAATTCCTTCTCACATCCCAAAATGACGTTATACAATGAAATAAGTATCGCGAAACAGATTTTGACTGAGGTGAATGGTTGTTAAAATTGATAGTTTTAATTTTAAAAATCAACCTATGTTTATTTTATTTTGTTCTCTTTTCATTTAAATAACTTTTTTTTATTTTGTTTTTTTTCAAAATGATGTTATTTTTACTTGTTTTAATATAATTTTACTAAAGATACTATATATTCTTTAATACTGACTAATGCAATTTTTGGCCAGATGTAGTTTTATTTTTTTGTTCATATCTGTAATTCATAAAGGACCTTGTCCAAGAATAAAGTTTACTTTCTATCTATCTATCTATTTATCTATCTATTATAGTATGATATGAATCATGAAATATTTATTATTATATTATGTAGTCGGAAAACAACATTTGTTTTCACGAGTCAATAAACGTTCAACTTTTTTACATAACAAAATTCATTACAGGAAAGATAATTGGACAGATGGTTCTGTAGTGTTGCTGACCACACCCATGTATTGGATCTCCAATACATGGACAAATATTTACGCTTCGTGCGCTGGGATCAAGCTATCCATTGCCAGTCGGATGTCTGTTAAGGAGACAATGGAGACCATCACAGAGTATAAGGTGAGAATAATAGATGTCATTTTCGAAATAATTTTATAAAAAAGTTGGAGAAAACCTCCACCATAGGCGTTCGCAAGGAACGGCTGAGAGGCAGGAGAATAAATCATTTCAGAAAAAAATAATTACGCATTTAATTAAAATAATTAAAATTACGCATTGACGATATTTCCTTGTAATATGGCTCACCATAATATAGACCAGAGATCTCTAAACTGTCCGCAAGCACTTCCCATCCGCCTCATGAAAGTTTCTTTGATTACATGGTAATATTTTAACAAGTGTTTTAAAAATATGAAATTTAGTACAAACACGAGGTTTGTACATTTGTTTCATGAGTAGTTTCTCTTAGAAGCTCATTTCACAACTGAAGTCTCATTTATTGAGGAAGCTTTTTTTTTTTTTTACTAAAAGCCATGGGCCGTGAGACTTGGTAGAATTTCAATACGTCCCGCAGGACTTAGTAGAGGAAGGGCCAAAACGTTTGGAGACCCCTTATAGACGGTTGCCATTTGGGATACTAGATTATTTTTTTTAAATTAATAGTAACATGTAACTAAATAATTTGCATTTTATATGGAAGTGGGGGAGAAGATAGTTTGTACGGATGAGGGAAGACCAACCAGCATATAATATAATATAAAAGTATTTTTTATTAATTATAAACATCAAACAATTAATTAAAATTCCATTGGGTTATTAATTAAGTACATTATAAAACAAATAATCACTTTCTAATTCATTTGTATCACTCTTATGAAAAAAAAAAGGTTTCAAATAATTTTATTTCTCGATTAATCCTAATCTCGTCATTTATGACATAGAGAGAGGAGATGGAATAGTTCTATAAGTAAAATCAAATCTATTCTAACTTGGGATTGGGAAGATTGAGATTCATTCGGTGGGTCCGCCACGAAATAATTTTTTTTAAATTAAATTAAATTGACTATCACGACCTAAATCATATCTCATATTCGTATATCACATTAATAAGTATAAGTTTAGTTATGAAGCTTAATATAATATAAAGGTATTTCTATCTCCTTCTATAGCCCACTGGGTGGTCCACCGGCCCGTCAATCCTGATAGAAATCTGCAAGGAAGAAGATGTCGACAAGTACGACTTCTCGTCCATCAAGATCATATTTATTGGTGGATCCGTTCTTCTGCCCGAACATAGGAAGATGATCACCGAGAAGATGACGTGCAACAAACACATCATAAAATGTTTGTACGGTAGCACTGAAGTCAGTTTAGCAACCTACGAACCCACATTCCTCGATATCGAGTCGACCAAATTAGCCAATGTAGGAAAAGTGGCTCCTGGTGTAACAATGAAGGTATAAAAAATTTTGAAACTTGAACAATATTTATCAATAATTTATGCTTAATTAATTTTTAACCTTTAATTGATTATTAAGTACATTATTTAATGCAGGAATATTATTAATTAGAATACTATAAAAAAAAACACATTAAAGCATAACAGGTATGTTTTATTTAAATAACACGAAAACATGATAAAATAATACCTTCTTGTTTTATGAAACAAACAACGCAAAGGAATAATGAGAGAAAAAAGATTCGAAATAAACTTCGCATATGTCAAGTCCAAGACCATAACAAAAATGTAACATTATTTATCAATGGCATGGCCATGGTAAGAAATTAAGAAAAATTGAATTTTAAAACATATTTCCCATTTTAGTTGAAAATCATACGGTCAGAGGTGAACACAAATTCCACAAATTAACTAAATTTTCAATTGACCTATTTACTGAAAACAGTATAAAATGTTCATTGTGTCAACTAAAAATATTCTCACAAACTGCCTAAGGTATCAATCAAACAATTTACCTAGCTTTTAGAGCCATAAAAAAATATTTTGTTTTTAGCCGATGTCGCAGGTTTTCCATTACTCAGCCCACTGAGCGTCTCCGACATTAGAATATGGGTATGTTTATATTAGAACAATATGTATATTTCATTTCATCACTAGCGGATCTAGGATTTAATTTTGGGGGTTCAGCCCGAAACCTTTTTTTTCATAAAAATAACGATAATTATTTTAGAAAAACAGAAAGAAACTACCTATATGAAATGATGTTTAAGTGATTCCTTAAGTCATTTTAAATGTACTTACACGAACAATAATACTTTAAGAGGTATTTATTAAAAAACATTTTCCAGAAAACATGGTTATATTTTACTATTTTTTATTTGGGTAGTGGGACGGCTTTAGCCCGAAAGCTCCCCCCCCCCTGTAGATCCGCCCGTGCATTTCATATAGGTTAGATTGTTGATGGGTTAATATTTTTTCTTTCAGAATGGTAGAAAACTGGCTTAGTATCATAAACATAAAAATCATTAAAAATAATTGTGTGCTCAGAAAAACCCTTGATATATGTACAATAAAATAACAACCATTCTTATTATCACTTCCACTACATAAGAGAGTTATGCAAGATATCATTCGGAATTTCATTAAATTAAAATTTTAAAACCTATTAATTAAAAATGCCAAGAAAAAATTGTAAAAATGCATTTTCTTAAAGAATTTAATTAATTCAAATCACGAAGATATGAAGATGGAGTTGCTTAAAATGGTATGCAGATTCAGCTTAATACACAGATCTCACTCTTTTGTCTACTTGGAAATTAAGCTGTATTGGCACAGTTATAGAAAAAGACATTTTATACATCAATAATGTCACATGTCAAAACTCAAATATTCAAGTTATTCTATTATTGAGGGGGAAAAAATTAATAATAAAATCTTTTAAATTCAAAATGTGTTGCCAACTATTTTTGATCCTAGTCCACTTAGTTCTCAAGATAACAAAATCATTCATAATAAATATGTCCAAAAATGTAATCATTTCCTCAGTTTCATGCTTAAGTAAATCTGATATTTCTATTTAAATTATTTAGGCTATAGTAAAATCTTTCAATCTCATCTTCCTTTATAATCATCATCATCATCATGTATGGCACAACATCCCGTTACCGAGACTGGGCCTCCTCCAAGAGCCTCCGCCAGTTGGCTCTGTCTTCTGCTGCAGCTCTCCAGTTCCGCACACCAAGCAGGGTTCTCGCATCATAGGCCACGTTGTCCAACCATCTCGTCCTCGGCCTTCCTACCCGTCTTACGAGGTGCAGCTCCTCCATCATTATTTTTTTTGGTATTTCAAGGGTGCTCATTCTGGCCACATGCCCTGCCCACCTCAGTCTGGCCAGTTTAATATACGTGACTACGTCGATGTCTGCATAGAGAGAACTGAGCTCCCTATTTTTTCTTTTCCTCCAGACATCACCCTCCTTTACTGGACCATAAATCCTTCTGAGGACTCCTCGCTCAAAGACACTCAGCTTCATCTCATCCCTTTTAGTCATCGTCCAAGCCTCTGAGCCATATGTCAAAACAGGCCGAACAAGGGTCTTGTATATGATCAGCTTGGTCTTCTTTGAGAGGTACCTACTTCTTAAGTGTCGGCCAAGTCCAAAGACACATCTATTGGCAGCCGTGATCCTTCTTTGTATTTCTTGAGCCATGTCATTCTTGCTATTAATTTCAGACCCAAGGTATATAAAACTTTTCACTCTCTCAAACTTAAAAGAACCTACCTCAAATGGAGAGTTCAGATCCACCTCACCGCCAACTCTCATATACTTAGTTTTCCTCTCGTTGACTTCTAGACCAAGTGGTCTTGCAGCTGCTTCAAGGCTTATAAACGCTTCTCTGAGAGCCCGTTCAGACCTACCTATTATGTCAATATCATCAGCAAAACCAAGAAGCTGTGTCAGGCGATTGAAGATTATATCTTTGGTCTGAATACCGGAGTCTCTTACAGCTTTCTCCTCTGCCAAATTGAACAATAGACAGGCGAGGGCATCCCCTTGCCTAACCCCACTGCTCACTTTAAACTCTTCGGAGTCGTCAGAACCGACGCGTATTCTGCATCTCGAGCTGTCCATGGTCATCTTGATTAGGCGTACGAGCTTCTGAGGGATGCTTAGCTCCTCCAAGGCACAGTATAGTTGCGTTCTATCAACGCTGTCGTATGCTGCTTTAAAGTCCAGGAATAAATGGTGGGTGACTACCTTACGCTCCATAGTCTTTTCTAGGATCATCCTCAGAGAGAACAGTTGATCAGTCGTTGAGCGTCCTCTTCGAAATCCAGCCTGATATTTCCCCAGTTCCTTTTCAGAATACGGGAGGATCCTCTCAAAAAGAATGTTAGAGAGCAGCTTATAAGCACACGAAAGGAGTGAGATTCCTCGATAGTTAGCGCATTCTGTTTGATCTCCTTTCTTATGTATTGGGCAGATAATGGCTGTTGCCCATTCCGTAGGCATAGCTTCCTTCTCCCAGATGGTCAGCATTAAATCATGCAGAGCTTTCTTGAGTTCTTCACCTCCACATTTCAACAGCTCTGACTGGATTCCGTCCGGGCCTGGCGCCTTTCCATTTTTCAATTTCCTCAGGGCGTTTTCCATTTCCTCCTCATCCGGGGGTTCAATAGAATTCAGGGAGTCTTCCTTCATTACACCTACTTCTCCAGGCACCGTTCCTCTGTTTAATGCGCCTTTGAAATGTTGTACCCATCTCCTTAGTACGTCATCTTTGTGGCTTAAAAGAGTTCCATTTGTGTCTTTGCATGCCGTCACTCTGGGCCTAAAAGCTGCCCTACCCTCGTTTATTCTCTGAAAGAACAGGCGACTTTCATTTTGGCCTCGCAATGCCTCTGTGTCCTCCATGTTCTTATTTTCCCAAGCTCTTCTCTTTCCGCGGAATAATCTCTTCTCTTCGCGTCTTTTTCTTCTATATGTTTCTTGGGAGAGCCTTGTGGGACGCTGAACCTTCTTTCTGTAGGCTTCATTTTTCACTTTTACTGCTTGAAGGCACTCAGCATCAAACCATGGGGGCCTTCTAGATTTAGTCTCGTAGCCAAGAGCTTCTTCTGCTGCCTGTTTCATTGCGTTGCTGCATCTCTTCCACTGTTCATCGACCATAGAGCTGTCATTAATTACTTCTTCATTAAGTTTCGTCTCCACAGCTTGTTGATACGAATATTGGTGGTCTGAGTCCTTAAGTTTAACCACATCAATCTTCTTCTTTGGTCGTTGGTAGTGGTTTTTAATCAGCGAAATTCGTGATCTGACCTCGGCAATGCTCAAATAGTGATCCGTGTCCATATTTGCACCTCTATAAGATCTTGCATTTATCATGTTGGACTTGTGACGGGCACTAATGAGTACATGGTCTATCTGTGATGCTGTTTGCCCATTTGGAGAGATCCATGTTGCTTTGTGGATATTCTTTCGAGGAAAAAGAGTTGTTCCAACAACCAGTCCGTGCAATGTAGCAAAGTTCACCATCCGTAGCCCATTATCATTACTGGTCTCATGCAAGCTGTGGGTTCCTATGGTCGGCATGAGTGCCACCTCCTTACCAACTTGTGCGTTAAAGTCACCAAGAATGATTTTAACATCATTTTTGGGGCAGCTTTCTGTCACGCGTCCAAGTTCTTCATAAAATGCTTCCTTATCCTCCTCAGGTGACACCTCTGTTGGGGCATGGCAGTTGATTAGAGAGAAATTAAAAAATTTTCCTCTAAGCCGAATGTAGCATAACCTTTGGTTAATGGGAGTAAATCGCATCACTAACTGTCGAGCTCTGCCTCTCACAACAAATCCGGTACCGAAGATGTGATGCTTTTCATGGCAGCTATAGTAGAGTGTATGGTACTTCTTCTCCATAATTCCCTGTCCTATCCATCGGACCTCTTGGATAGCTGCTATGTCGATTCTGTATGTGTCCACTTCTGCAAGGAGCGCACGAAGTGCTCCTAGTCTATGTAATGATAAAATGTTCCAAAATCCAATTCTTAGGTCATTTAGGCGTTTCCTGGGTCTGTTACCGTAATTCAGTCCGGCTTCTTCTCTTTGAGGTTTCGTAATAAGGTACTTTAGGGGGGGTGGGTTATCAGCCCACTGCCCCCGAGTCAGGTAGAGGGGCTGCCTCCTCCGAGCATCCTGACTAGCTCCCCCATCCGGGGCGGCTACCTAGGGAAGGTGACCCTAGGGTGTGTACTGTAGGTGACCTTTGTCTGTAGTGTTTAGGTGTTGTAGTGTGCTGTCTAAAGTGTACTTGGTGTGTGAGTGTTCGTGTAAGTGTTCCCCCAACCTGGAGGGCCAGTGGCTGGTTGCGGTACAATGACCGGGCGATGGGACCGCCACCTCCCTACGCCCTTCCTTTATAATAAATAACAATAATAAGCATAGCTAATATATCGCCTTGGCTGTTTCTGTCTTAATAATGGCTGAATTGGTGAAACATTGATAGGTTATATATATATATATATATATATATATATATATATATATATATATATATATATATATATATATATATATATTATAATACTTTAAAATATTTTTGCAGGTGGTGGATACGGAAACTGGAAAAATACTGCCACCTTACGCAGTAGGAGAGTTGTGCATCAAATCTCCCGGCGTTCTAAAGCAATATATCAACAAAGAATTTACTGAAGAGGATATGGACAAAGATGGCTTCTGGCATTTAGGAGACCTCGGCTATTACGACGATGAAGAATACCTCTTCTATAGTTCCAGGCTCAAAGATGTTATGAAGTACAAGGGCCAACAGGTATAATCTTAATTTTTCGCATGGATTTTAAAAAGAATTAGGAAAGACAGTTGCTCCAAATGCTCATCCTTTTCTCTCACTGGTCCAAGGCAAATATGATTTAGAGTCTAATGTATTATTAAACTATTATTAAATTAATATTAAATATTAACTATTATTAAATTAATGCTAAACATTATTAAATTATTATGATAATTTTGGAGTGGCTTAACTCGGTATGTTGTTCTCCTATTCTCCTGGACCTGGGTTAGAATCCAGCTGTAACAGAAAATTATTTCTATTATTCTATTATATCTGCTGAGAATCGACATTGGATTGGGACACCTTCCTGAGATACACTCAACCTTTCAAGAAACTCAAAACCACAACCTGTTTGGGAGAAATTTAACTTTTATTAGTGATTTATAAGATGAATATGAGAAGGAGTTAGTCGAGGGTGCGGTCAAATAAATAAAAAAAATTAAAATATATTAATTATTTTCATTAAAATAATTAATATATTTCAATTTTATTTATTTATTTGACCGCACCCTCGACTAACTCCTTCTCATATTATATCAACGGTCAACCATCTCTACATCATTATAAGATGAATATTTCTTCATCTTAATTTTTTATATTAATGCATTCCTTTCTAGTGTAAAATAATACAGGAAAATCTTCCTCAAAATAGGCATTGAAGATTTGAATTGTATACTTGTTATTTTCAATTATGACCACATTGCAGATCGCTCCCATTGAGCTGGAAAGCATCCTCCTGAAGCATCCTGATGTCCAAGAGTGTTGCGTGGTTGGAAAGATGTGTATCGAACAAGGAGGAGAACTTCCTACAGCTTTCATAATCAAAAAACCTGGTTCTAATCTTTCAGAAGAAGAAATTCACACCTTTATCTCAGGTGAGTAACCCTAATTTACTTCTTATTGGTGCAAACAAATTAAAATATAAGGACACACATATATTTTTTTAATTGCTTTAGGGAAAGTCATCGATGAGAAGAAGCTTAGAGGTGGAATCTTCTTTGTGGACAGCATCCCCAAGAGTTCAGTTGGTAAAGTCCTGCGAAATGAACTGAAAAAACTGCTTAGTTAAGCACATTTCACTGCTTTGCATTGATAATGGCACAACTAAAAAAAATTAAAAAAAGAAATTTTAATTTTCCACTGAATATCTTTCAAAAGTAGTAAAGTTTCATTGAAGAGAACGGCATATTCTCATCTAGTCGATTTAGTCACCAGAGAACAGTTTTTCCTCTATCAATCTGTACCCAATATTTGATAAACGGTATTCTAAGAATATCTGTTTCGAGATGATCAAGTGAGTTTTTGTCAAGTTGTGCTACTATCACAGTAAAGCAGTGATATTGTATATTTAGGATTAAGATTTTTATGTGGTAAAAAATCCAAAACATGTACATAAATATGTATTAATTATTTCAAAAATATTTTTTTAAATGAATGTAAAAAATTTGACATGCTAAGAAAAATATTTATTAAACAATATGAAAACTTCTAATTATTTATTTTTTACCCTTAACTGGTCATGTTATCACCAGAGATAGCACGTCTGTGAAGATTTTTTTTTTAAAGTTTGAAACATTGGTCTGAGTCAAAATAATGCTGGATAATCGTAAATGAAAATAAAAGCTTCCCTGTCTCATCTACTTTGAACTAATCATGGACAGACCACTCAAGTTAAGTTTCTCATAAATTCTTTTCATAAATTTTTCCAAAAACATTTGGCCATTTTAATACTTTTGGTGTTCAAATACATCATATAAAATGTAACTACCCTAAGAAATAAAATGCATATCAAAAACTTGTTTCTAAAACAAAGTTTATATGGAGGTATGCATGATAACTTCCCCTATCAGAAATATGCAGGTTATGGTTTATTACTCCAGTATTTTGCTCTGTAAGTTCAATTTTTTTATTTCTGATCGTCTCTACCCTAGAGTGGTGACTCCATCCTCCTTGTCTCTTGATATTTCCTTCATTGTTATTGGTAACTTCAGTTTTAGTCTAATTTTATTGAACTCGTGACACTCTACTAAAATTAATTTTTAAAACCGTTATTTATTTTTAAATACCATTTGTCTTGAGAATATTCTTGAATTTTATAGGTTTTATTAATGTCACGTTTAATAAATAAAATTATTGGTTATTAAACTGTTTGTAATAAAAATATTATTTTAATTTTTATTTTTAAAAAACAAGGTTCTGTAGATACAAAATTTAAGACTACCACAAAACATTCCCTTATTTTTCTTATATGGTCTAAACAATATCTTTAATAGACTTTAAAGCATAAACCCATCCTATTTTGCTGGGTACTACAAAATGCTCACCTTAGGAAAGGGCAATCCCAAGCACTCATCTACACAATGCCTGCCCAATATTATAGATTTGGGGATTATTAAAAATTAGAAATCCTATTAATAAAGTAAATAAATCAAAAGAATATTAAAAAAAAAAAATATATATATATATATATATACTCTTTTTTTTTTCGGTTGACACTACAGACCATGAAGATCTTTGACCGCGAGTGTGGTCTCCTAGACCACACCCCGATTCCCGACTTAAAGTACAGGGTAGGGTCATCAATCCTACACCCGGTTGGTGTGAGTTGCCTCCAGTATGCTGGCAGGGCTCACACACCGGGGTGGGGGAGAAGGAATCTCGGGCAGCATGGCTTTTCTTGGTGGACGGTCACCCATCCAAGTGCTAGCCACGCTCGGCATTGCCTAACTTTGATTATCTATATAACTGAAATATAAATAGATATGTATGTTTTTCAAATGTGTCTCATTTCCTCCTCCTAACTTACATTTTTATTTATGAGAGGAGGAGATAAGTTCATTATGTAATTACCTGGAGACACCAAATGTTTAAGGCTGTCATTGGCTTGATATATTAAAGCATGGAATTGATAATCTCAGCGATAAACATTATCAAGAAGGATTATCTTTATGGAAGGAACTATTAAAAATTTGACTAAAGGAAAGTAGCTTATAAGTTTTATTCTTCATTTTGACCAATGCTTGATGATACCAAGGCCAGTGATTATTATTTTCAAAAGGTTAAAAAAAATTTAAAGTAATAACTTTTCATTTATTTTATTGTTACAGAAATACACAGTAGTAAATAATACGAAAACAAATTATAAAAAAAGATTAAAAAACAAATAAAGTAATAATATATTCTCTTTTTTTTTTTTCTTAAACAGAATACATCACAGCAGTAAATATCACACAATCCTCTTATTTTGTGCTCAATAGGAAGGATTTTTCTTAACATAATGAGGAACAGAAATTTTGGTTTTATTTTAAATATGTAAAATCAAAATTATATATCGTTATAAATAATGAATCCATGAGTAATAAAATAATAGTCTCATTTCATTAAAGATGTATAAACAAGGTTGTATGTTTTTAGGTTAATAACAGACTAATTAATGAGATATTAACCAGTTTTTATTATTCATATCGACAGATATGGATTAACTCTTCAAAATTTATTTGAGACTCAATAGCAACTAGTTCATTTAGGGAGTTATTTGCTCAAAGTCATTGATTAATATAATTAATAAAAATATATATAAGAGATTATGCATGTCAAATAATATCAAATGGTTCAATTATTTTTTCCTGCATCTGTTGACTTCCAATTTTTATGTCGTGAGTCTTCTTCAGCAGCTTGGGACTGTAATAGTTAAAGCAGTGATCGTTTTGTTCTCTCTTCTTGGAGATATCCAGGGAGCACGTGATTTACTAACTGGACGCGATCACACATAAAAAAATATAAATGAACCATTTGACATGCATAATCTCTTCAAATAATTTTCAATATATTTTTATTAATTATAATACTCAATGACTTTGTACAAATAACTCCCTAAATGAACTAGTTACTATTGAGTCTCATAAATTTTCAAGGGATAATCCATATCTATCGATATGGAAAATAAAACTGGTTAATATTTCTTTTAATTAGATTGTTATCAAATGGTTCAAAGAATTATTAAAACATATCTTAGCAGTCAGTAAGAATAAAGTACTTTTCTTCAGAAGAGTATAGGAGATATCAACTAACACAAACAAATGCTTGGTTATACTAATTAATAATAGTAAATAAAAAATCACTACATAACAAGGGTTATTCTAATTAATAATAGTAAATAAAAAATCACTACATAACAAAGGTTATTCTAATTATTAATAGTAAATAAAAAATCACTACATAACAAAGGAGACCAGATTTTAACATTGATAAAGCAGGACACCATTGACGGAAAAGAAGGGGGTAAGGAAATTCAATTTGGTCTATAAGAGAGAAAAAAAAATTATATATCGAGTAGTTACAACAAGAGCACAATTTTCAGATTTCATAAAGGGATTAATTAGTTAAAGTAATGAAATATATTTTTATATTATTTCAATAAAGTTAGAATCGGTAATAATTTGTCCGAAAAATTTGAGGTTCGTTCGGGTTTAAAACAGGGGGATTCTCTTTCACCTGTCCTGTTCAATTTAGCATTAGAACATGCCATTAGGGAGGTAATGCGAACTGAGAAAGGGTTGGATCTGGGCGGGACAACATCCGTGCTGGGCTATGCTGATGATCTGGTATTGTTAAGCGAAGACGTTGAAACTATAAAACTAAATACGACAACGTTAATGAAAGCCGGTAAAGAACTAGGACTCAAAATAAACGTGGATAAAACAAAATATATGGTTAGCTGCAAAAATGGCGATACTATTGGTGATATCGATATAGATGGTAATATGTTCGAACAGGTAGAGAAATTTAGTTATCTAGGTTCTACGATAACTAGAAAAAACGAAATTGAAGAAGAGATTAAGGTTAGACTGAAGGCCGGAAATGCTTGTTATTTTTCTGTGACAAAACTACTTAGTTCGCGCCTCTTGTCCCGGAACTTAAAAATTAGAATCTATAAAACAATTATCTTGCCTACAGTTCTTTATGGATGCGAAACCTGGCGGCTTGCACTAAGGGATGAGCAGCGTCTTAAGGTTTTTGAAAATAAAGTATTGCGTAGAATATTCGGACCGAAGAAGGATGAGTTAACCTGAGAGTTCAGACGGTTACACAACGCCAAATTGCGTGAGCTGTATCCGGGTAATATAATTGAGATAATTTCATCGCGGCGAATCAAATGGGCTTGTAAAGTTGCTGGGCTTAGTAACGAGAGAATTCCTAAAAGGGTAATATTTGCTGTGCCGAATGGTAAGCGTCCGAGGGGTAGACCGAAGTGAAGGTGGGAAGATTGTATTAAAGCCGATCTGAAGGGACTGGGTTTGGACAGCGAACGGTGGAGGGAGGTATTGGTGGTGTCAGCATCGAACCTTCGGGTTCGCTAAGCCTTTTATTATTATTATTATTAATAATGAAATATGTTTTTGCTATAAATAATATTAATTAATGGACAAGAAGACTATTGGTTGATAAATATAATATATAATATTTTAATATATTCATAATGATGTAGACATGGTTGACCGTAATATAATATGAGAAGGAGTTGATCAGGAGGAGTGGTTGGGGGGGGGGGGTGCAGTCAAATAAATGCTAAATCATAGAAATAGTATTATTTAATTAATTATTTAATTATTATGCCTTAATATTTCTATAATTTAGTATTTATTTGACCCCATCCCCTAATCAACTCCTTCTCATAATATATTCATAAATTAAGTAAGGGAATGGATAAGAAAACATTTGTCACCGTTCCAAACCGAGACTCTGCGACACGTCACAGCTCCACCAGTACTGTCACATCCCTAGTTGTTACAATGTTTCCCAGCTTCTCATACATTCTTCCCAAAATTGGGACTGTTTTAAACAGCAGCGGGATACAGAACAAATTCTTAAAAATTGGGATGTCTGGTCACCTTATACATAACATTACAAATTATAAAAGAACTATGAAGAAAATAAACATGCTAATTCAAGGCTTGCTAATCTGCTATAAGCATAAACTTATCCACAAAAGAAACATGTATAACTAAATAAAAAAAAAAAACAATATCACTGCCAATGAGAGACAGTAAATCCAAAAATGACTTTGTGCAGATATCTCAATTTTGTTATATTTTTGTCCACTTTCTTTACAAAATTGATATAAAAACTATCAATAAAGGCAACAAGCAAAGATAATTCTGATTCATCCAGTTGGAAGAAACGGATATTCCATTTATGAATGAATTGGTGAAAAGACACTATGGAAATAATATTGGCTGCTCAATAAACTTAATGACTATTGGACTGAGTGATCTGAGCCACAAAGGAGCCAATTTTTGCAAGCAGTAATTCATGGAAATGAGATTGATTGATTCTTTATTGTCTTGCTGGTCTTTATTGAGAGCTACTGCTCTGATTATTAAAAAGAACAATTTTTAAAAAGTTTGGTTCAATCATAACCAAGAACAATAAAGTTAAAAAGTTCAATCATTACAAGAACAAAGTGAATGCTTCTTGAGGAAGTTAATAAGAAATTCAGGAGTGTAGGCGTACCTTTAATCTGTCCAACAAACTGAAGATAGCTTGAGCTTGAGTTCAATTCTTGAACTTCTTCCTAGAGTACTGGCTTTCTATTTATCAAAAATGATGACAATTATTAGAAGAAATTAAAATGATTCTCTCATTTTTTAATTTTCTTTTTTTTTTTTTTTAAATGCTGTAAAAATATATCACAGAACTCTGTAAGAAATTAATTCTTCAAGGAAGTACTTGAGAAATTCTCAATTGATCCATTATTTAAATTTTCAGTTCAGGTTTCTTAAATGGTTACATAATATCTTACTACAGTCTTCTTCAAAAGATACTTTGTTTCTTTTAATAGTATTTGTTTTTAAAAGAAATTCATAAGGTACAGCCTATGTTACAAAGCTGCAGGTTTTGATAATCAGTATTGTGGAGAACAATAAACTATATCACAGTCTTAGTAATATACTTTTTTCAAAAATTCTCAGATGCAAGGCACAGTTAGCACTTTTGGTTAAAAGATAATAAAATATTAATTTAGGTGTTTTCTGCAATTACGAAATTCTGTTCATCTTCAGTGCTACCAACTCCTTCACCACTATCAGGACAGTCAGAATGCTCAGGAGGTTTATATAAGCTGTAGCTGATACTAATAAGAAATGAATAAAAATCAGTATTAATAAAAACTAATTAAAATAATTTATTAAAAGAAAAATAATAATCAAATGCTTCATAAACTTTTAAATGACTTATAGTGAATAAGAATAAATACCTGAACAGTATCATAATAAATGCATTACCACCAGCACTGACAAAATAGAATGCACCTGGCATTGTTTTGGATGTTAACGAAAATACATAGTTGTACAAAAAATTCAAGAAAGACATAACGCATATCCCTAAGATAGAACCTGTTCCAAGGAATATTCCTGAAATAAAACAATAGTAAATAATAATAATAATAAAAAAACAACTTGATTTTTTTTTTTACTGAACAAACCTAATTCATCATTTTTTACACATTTGCTGAGTACAGATGAAGGAATTGAATACAGATTTAACCTCATGACAGCTAATGGAGCACCTAAAAAAATAAATAATAATAATAAAAACCTGTTAACAAATGCTAATAATATAATAATACTCATTCAGTACCCAATCCTTACTTAAGATTAATAAAATTGTTGAGTTTGCTAGACCTGTTGACAACGAGGATAAGGAAGAAAAAAATGAAGCTAAAATTCCAAATGTTAAATCAGACCATTTAAGAACTTGTATAATCAAAACAGCCATAATAAATGAACCTGAAAAAGATGGTAGAATCTAAAATAATAATAAAATATAATTTTTGTTTGTTCATAAAGTACATAATACATTCCTATTAGGAGGTAAGAGTTAGATAAAAAATACAAATAAATGATGAAAAACAAATTCACAACGTTTTCTCTCTTTTAATGAAATGAAAAATAAAAATTAAAAACCTATTCCCAAATAAGACAAACAATTACATTCCAAAACGAAAAAAACAATTAAACATACTTAAGTGTACATACATGATATTATATCCTATAATATCCTCAATGATACATTATACTTTTGTAAGCTAGACCCAAAATAATCAAATTGTAATGTTGTAAACAGTGATAATGTAAAATCAATATATTAATACCACATTAACATTCAAGAAAATTGGTGTAATGGATACAAGAAACTATCCTTGAAAAATTAATAAATCACATAGTTTTGATTAATTTATGTTCTATCTTAGATCATTAACAGTCACTACAGTTTAATTCATATTATGAAAATATTTTAAGCAATGGCCAAGCAGAAGTGAAAGGAATATATACAACAGGTGTTCGAAAAACAACAGGAAGTTGAGGATGTGCACAACTTATTGTTTGCTCTTAAACAAATCATCCTAAATGCCTTCTCCTGTTACAGGGAGAAGTATCTGAAATCTTCAAAGTTTGAAAAGGTTTAAGTGAGGTAGAGAGATGAACCAATGCTCATGATATTCAACTTTTCCCTGGAATAAGTGACAAGAACATCCAATAAAAATGGAGGAGTGCACATCAGAATGAACCATAAAATTCTAGAATACGATGCTACATATTATTATCTTTGAATATAAATGCAAATATAAATAATAAATATTTATAGGCCTTATTCCCTAGCAAACTAGTTTCGTGTTTTTTTAATTGATTTTAGTTTATATACTTTATTAATTTATATGACTTATTTGTTATTTACTTTATTTTAATTTGCCTAAATTTTTGTACTTCTAATTGTTGGGCGAGGAGGATATAAATTGGAAACAGTTTGGGGATTTGTATTTGTTGGGTCGTTTGTACATGACAAAAATAACTCCACCAAGAAAATAGAGAAGCTAATTTTAGCTATCATAAGAGTTTATTGAAGTCTAATCAAACTTTTCAAAACAAAAGTAATCAATAAGGACACAAAGATTACACTCTACAAAACCCTGAACAGACCCATACTGACTTGTGACTGTAATGCTAGGTGCTAAAAAAAAGCAGACGAACAGAAGATCATTGGTTTTGAAAGAGGGAAACTTAAAAGGGTTTATGGGCCCATTAGGGAATATGGTACCTGAAGAATCAAACACAATCAAAAACTGTAAGAAGGTGGGCATGGATGTCCCAGCGGTGAAATTTATACTGATCAGCAGGCTTTGTTGGGCAGATCATGTGTGAAGGATAGCAGATAATAGTATTCCCAAGCGAATCAAGGAATGGTGGATAAAGGGAAGATAAGAACGCCAGTTTGTAAAAGATGCCGTGCGGCTGGAAGCGGCAGGCTGGTGGACGATGGTCAGAAATAGAGACAAGTGGAAGCAATTTCTTTTGGAAGCCAGAGCCCGAACTTGCAAGGGAGATGTATGTATGTATTATTGGAAGAAACGATATTCTTGTCCCCACTATTTTAATATTGGAAGAGCGATCACCATTATACTGAGGGATCTATCAGCTCACAGCTGTCAACACCTGTATTCCTCTCAGGAAGGGTGAGTTAGAAAATTACATTTAAAATATATAAATTTTAAAAATAAAAGTGTGGGAGTATCAAGATTTATTTCTCTAGACTGTTTGGAAATAAACATTAGCTGACCAATAAATTGGGAATCAAACCCACACCATTCTAAATCAGTCTGGGACCCTCTACTTTTTTTATGAACCTTTTACCGATTACTTTCATATACATACCAAATAGTGCCACTGCAAAATGATATGAGCCATAAAGTGATGCTTCTTTTACTGTGAAATGAAATCTCTGCTGAAGGTAATATGTTGCCAGAGTACTTTCAGCTGCAATTATAAGTATAACATAATTATCATATTTTATAAATAATGTATTATTTAATCTTTAAGAATGGTAATTTTTATCATTAAAATTTTATTTAACAATAAAATTATAGCAAAACTAAATGTTACAAAAATATTAAAAAAGTAAAATAAAACAAAATTCTTTAAATTATTTTTCAAGATTAGTAGAAGTTATAGTCATCACCCTATCTGCTTCCAACATGAACAATTGAATAATCCCTACGATTTGAAATAAATTAATGAGGTACTCACCTGAGAATAATGAGGAAGCAACAGAGCCACAGAGCAACATCATCCAAACCACAGCGATGTTAGATCTCAGCTTGAATAGTTCCCGCAGCTGGTCAAGGGTACTCCTCCTCACGACTTGCTCTCTCTGTATTTTCATATCATCAACAAAGATTAGGCAGAGGAGAAGTGTCAAAAAATGTAGCATTATACCAGTTGCGAAAACCCAACGATATCCTACGGAAGTCAAGAAGTACCCACTCGCTGTTGATGATACCAATGCAGCCAATAACATTGTAGTCATATAAATCTGAAGGCTTCATAGAAAAAACAAATATATGTATATATATATATATATATATATATATATATATATTTATTTATAACATTAAACATTTAAGTTTAAATGTAATTGGCATTATCAGACAAATGGCAAAGATAAGGCAATGAGATTCTATGTTGCTTTTGTCAAGAAGTAATTTCTGAAGAAAGAGATTTTTATTGCCAACAGGTAAACATTAAACTTTTATTACTCAGAATTATATGAATGAAGATTTTCAGAACGATACAGGTGTTATTATTAATGCTAAAATTAATATGGACCCGGTTTTTATTTGAAAGAGAAATCAATGACTGTAATAAGAATTAACTTACTCAATGACTGTAATACAAATTGACTTACTACTTATGAATCTTCACTTACAAAATCAAAAATTAAACTCTTTAGGCAAAAATAAAACATTTAAATCAAATCTGTATTAATTTTAAACTATAACCTAGGCAATAAATATAAATAAAATCAATATATAAAACACATAAAATGACCTAAATAATATTTAAAAAACTCAAAGCAACTCCGAAGTTTTTGAAACAGATATTAATTCTCATGATTAAACTGCGATAATTTTTTAAAAAATAATCGAATAATAACCTATTTCTATTGTGTTTTTGTCTCATGAGGTTTAAATGATTATAATTGTAAGTTATGTGAAACAATGTAAAAAAGATTTGTTCTTTTAAGGTGGGAGGAAGGAAGTTCAGCAAGGTATCCTTCTCTCTTTGTTAATTAAGAACTAAATTTTATCTACTCCAACGACTTGAAACATAAATGGAAGATATTACTCACCTCATCGTCCTGTGTTCCACACTGGTATTTGCAATCAGGATACAATTGGTACCCAGAAAGAAAATCCCTTCCCCAAACAAACCAGATATCACAGCCTCCATCATAGGTGCTATCCATGGTGAACTCCGCCAATCGGCGGCTGCCAGGAAGTAAGCTGTGGTCGACAGAATTTCTGCCAATGGTGCAATCAGTAGCAGAGGTCGAGTGAGTCCTGTAGCATCCCGCCAGTAGCCAAAGGCTGCCGTCGAAATAGCTGAGACAATGGACTTCAGAACATTCTTTGTCGTAGCAATCTCTGTTAAAGAAAGTCTAGATTTGTTGATAATGAGCTGGTTTATATCTATATCTATTTAGTTGCAATAAAACTGAAGTAAAACAATAGATAATTAATTTCTCCAAAATTTTCAATGAGGCATAGGTACATATAAATATAAATTTTTAAGGAAAATTACATCAATTAAATAATTAAGAAATTATAATTTTTACTGATAATAATAAACAAATAAAAGATAACAAAAGTTAAGGCTGTATTTATTTCACCATATTTTGTTATTTTCTCTTATGGCCCTGAAAACATTTCGGCTATGTCCCATTTTCAAGCCAACTGCAAGATTGATTAATGATATTCATTATGTTAATTCAACATTTTTGATGTTCTGTCCTTAATTGGATTATTAAAATTGTCTTGTAAATGGCGAAATAGCCGAACCGTTGCCAGGCCAATAAATGATTAAAAATAAATATGCTGGAATAAATGCAGTCTAAATCTTTATTATGAATCCAATTTCACGCTTAACTGAAATAAATAGAAGCAAATTGAAGATTTCTATTTTTTTTTTAACACTTAAAGTACTTTATTTCATTAAATATTTAGAATGAATCTCTCCAAACTCCTTCCCACAATAGGAGTAGACTTTCCATTGTGATTGGGAATAGAGAAATGAACTCCCCTCTCTCCCTTTCCCCACAAAAAAATGTCAAGAGAATATGTTATGTATAAAAATTATCTATGAGAGTTAAAATAATCAACATAATAATTGTAAATACATTTAAATATTTATTACTATTTTTACATACGTTATTTTAAATGTGAGTATATTTCAAAATATGTTAATAAAACAATTAAATATATTATATATTTTTATACCTAAAACGTGGGGGGGAGTCTTTATTCATAGGTACACTTCTAAAAATTGTTCAGGTAAAAGTGAATAATAGGTAATATATATATATATATATATATATATATATATATATATATATATATATATATATATATATATATATATATATATATATATATATATATATATATGATTCTTTAGTATCTATATACTCAAAATAAATTGAGAATAACAACAAAAAAAGCATGTTTTAATAAAAACACATCTTCACAGTCTGACTAGTAACATAAAAAATATCAAACAACAATCAAACTCTATAAGATGATATAAATAAAAAAAAAAAATTAGAGATCAAGTAAAAAGATAGAGTAATGAAACATAATTTAAAATTGAAATGAAAATAAATTTGAACTCTAAGTCTCACAGTTGATCAATATTGGGAAGTATTAGAGATATGTTAAAAAAAAAAAATTCTGATATGCCACTCACATGACTTTCCTATCTATTTCAGGAAAGTTTTTATATCTTTACATATGTCCATCAAGAAACAAAAAAAGAAAAGAATTAGATTTATTTTCCTGAAAATTGTTAAAGAAAAGATTTGAGTACGATTTATTTGATAAACGAAAGCAATGTAAACAGGCTTGAGGTAGATCACTGTAAAAATTTCAATACCCACTAATATTGCTAATCAAAAACGTTTTGCCATAGCCTAATTTTGCCAAACAATAATTTCTGTTCAAAGTAGAGGTAATAGTGAAGCTTGTGCGACGCAGGCAACATATTTTCTTATCTTTTTTCTCTCATTCATCCCTTTCTGACACCAGGATATGTATCTGTAATTTTCCATTAAAAATTGAATAGCTGTAACTTCGTTAATAGTTAATTGGCTCTGAAATGTATAGATCCATCGGAGACCGCATATCAGAAATTTGACCTGATCGCAATACTTTCCTTACCTAGTGTAGGTAGGAAAGTAAAAAAAAAAAAAACAGATAAGGATGTAAGATGTATACAGGAAAAAGTGATAAGTTAAGAAGTGGCTTGCAGAAAAGAATATTGAAGAAAGAAGAAAAATTAATTCCTGCCAAGGCAAAACTAATCAAGCTCCTCCCATCAAATAAACAGCCAGCAAGAAAAAGAAAAAAAATTCTCAAAGAAAGATTGTAAACCTCTTAATATCAAAAGGCAGGCTGGAAATATATGCTAATTCTACACTAGATTAGGAAAAAAGTGTATGAAGTAAAATGGAAACATATGAATGAGAGGAAAATATGGTAAAGTGGTGGTAATAAAAGAAAAGATATCAAGAATTTAGAAAGAACATTTCCTACAACTGTTCAATTAAAAAAAAAAAAAACATACAATAAGAAGACATGGACTACATGAGGTAAATATTCTTGATATGGAAATAGCTGTAGGCTTATAAGAAGTTGCAAGCTTCAGAGAAATACTTACCCGAAATTTCAGCTAAAATCACTGTATCATTGCAGATAAATTCATTGACAGGTGGTTGGATCCAAGGACTGCAAGCTTTCTGCTCCAAAAGGTTTGGGATGGCTGAAGAAGAAATAGAAATGGCCATCATACTAGTAACTGTAGGCAACAGTACGTTCATTCCCTTAAAACTGATCATAATTGATTTTGTCTGTCTAAAACAAAACGATAAAAGATATTATCACAAAACTTTCATACAATTAGCAAAGTTTATTTCAATAAAAAAATTGAAAATAAGTATATTAAAACAGAAAAAACTGTTTTCAAGTTTAAATTAAAAAAACAATTTCAGAGCGTTATACGGAAAACCAATAAATTTTACCAAATTGCATAACATTCTGTCAAAATATCGACAATGATTATGAGGAGGAAAGTGTAAATTCACAGCATACAGTGAAAGTCTGCATAGTACAAACATATAAATAAATTAATATTAAATGTTATATTTGTTCGTTTCACAATAATTATGTTGAATTTTCACATATAATAAAAACTCCAGCATTTTTTTTTTCACCTCTCTCAATCAAAATCTAAAGTCTGCGCCAATGCCTCATAGATGGTTAGCCTACTATCACACCTATTAAAAGATGGAGAACAGCTTCTAAGTGATAAATTATTACAACTAACACAGAAAATATGGAAGGAAGGAAGGATACCAGAATCTCGGGACAGGGGCCTAATGAGTCCTTTCCTAAAGCAAAGAACTCCTCAGATTTCCGTATCTAACAACCACCAAGGTCTCTTAAAGAAGAAGAAAGATTGATTAACAGATACTTGAGAAACGGTTGGAAGAAGCTCAGGATGTACACGACTCATTTGTCACTTTTAAAGCAGTTGACTCCCTGGAGAGAAACTGTTTTTGGAAACTCATTGTAGAGCTATAGGAGTTCTTAAAAATATGATAAGATTAAACAAATTATTCTCTAAATCAAACTCTGACACAAGGAGAGGTACCTAAAGTCTTCCAAGTTTTAAAAGGTTTGAGGCAGTGAGATGAACCGCCCCACGTTTGTCGCAAAAAATGTGATAAGAAAATCAGGTGAAAATGGAGGAATTGCTCATCTGGAGTGAATGAATCATAAAATCCTAGGATATATTGCTATATAGGCAGGGATGCCCAGAAGGAGGTTTTAAGTCGCAAATTGCGCCATCAAATATTTTTAGAAGGGCATTTTTTTTTTTTTTTTTTTTGCGTCCTCTCCTTTGCTCGCCGTTAAGGCTTATAAGGGGTTTTCCCAGGTCAGGGGGTGAGTGTGAGCGGGGATTTAAAAGACTCCCCCGGCACCGGGACTCGAACTCGTGACTATTTTTATATCATTGAGACATATATGTATATATACATGATAAATCAGGCAGTGCACACGCGTTAGCCCATTCGGCCACCCCGTCCACACTAGAAGGGCACATTTTTACGCGGTTTTCAAACCTAATGACAAGGGAAAAAAAGCATGGACCAGACTATAGAAAGTTGCATTGTATATGATCTACGATTTTCCCAATTCTACGTTCGCTTGTATTTTTTTAAGAAGAGGTTGTTAAATTGTAATTTTAATATTCTTGTAAGAGGGGAGAGGGGAGATTCACTACCATCGACCTTGGGGAGGGAAGGAGGATGGACATCTCTTATTATTAACTTTGAATATAAATAAAATTCAAATAACATGACATTTTGGGTCAAGTAAAATACTTGGTTATCTACTTCTATGCCTCTTATCTACTCGATTTTTCTATTTTCTTCACTTCTATTACTTCTTGATTATATTTTTGTGGATACAAATTTTATTTATCCATGTAGACTATTCGTTTTTAATTTTATTTATTCGTTTTTTAAATGGAGACTCAATCTGAGTTTCTTAACATAATGGATATACAGTTTTACACTAACGTGCCGAATCTAAAATCAATACTTTTATCCTTATCAGTGGTGTAACTAATTTGGACCAACTGGAACAATTTTCTGCAGGACCCGTCTCAGAAGGGTATCACGACGAGAGTGAAAAAAAAAATCAGTTCTAAAAATATAACTTACAACAATTGTTGCTGTTGCAAATTATTATAATCATTTGGATACTACGAGACAGATACACTATACAGATGGACGTTTCTGTATTTAAAAAAAAAAACGATAGCAGTTTAGGCATTGAGGAAAAAAATATTTAAAACACCTTTAAATACCAGATTTGAACGCTTAGAGTTTTCAATATTATTTAGGTCATTTTATGTATTTATATACAGATAATAATGATAAAATTAAAATAGATTTGATTTAAATGTTTGTATTAATTCTGGTATAACAGTTTAACTTTTGAATTTGTACGCAAATATTCTTGTGGCAGTTCATTCTTATTGATTCCTCTTTCAATTAAATAATCGAACGCCTAATAAATATTGTAAACAAAATCGATCCATATTAATTTTCGCTTGAATAATGCATGGTAAAAGACATAATTAAAATTATTTCATCATGGTTTTGGGTTCATAAATTCAACAATTAATGGTTATATAGTATTTCTTTTCCTTCATTAAACAATATTAAAATAAAATGATCATCTACACAATCCGCTACAAAAGCAAGGAACCACTTCTCTTCCAGCATTCCCATCAACTCGACGAAGAGCAAATCTCCACAGAGCAATACCTAGAACAGAACCCTGGAGACAAATTATTTCCGTGAAGTCTTCTACTTTAAAGAAGCTACACCGTATTTTTAAAGTTCGGTCACTGAGATAGCTCATACTTCTGCAACTGCTAGAGTACGCACGGCCACCAAACACTATCGAAGTAGAGGTTATGGCAAACAGGAGAAGCTTAACATATTTTGCCTTTTGTTCATCGTCATTGTGAACTCTTAGCAGGGTGTCTGCGGTTTTCCTACATTTAGTGGATCCGTATTGCCGTGGATAGCTTTTTCTTAAAGAAAAGACTGACCGTAAGCACGTCATCAGCAAAGTATCTACCAATTTAATCATGACAGGGAAGAGACATATAGGCCTTATAAGGCTTGGCTAATTCCTTGTCCTTGTCTTATTTCTAGTAAAGGAGCCTTAAGTGGACAGGCAATTTCCCAACTACTTAGAAAGTATCCCTTGTCAATACAATCACTAAATACCACCAACAGCGTATCTAGGGGATAATAATAGAATTAACAACAGCGTATGCTATATTCTATCCCTTCCTACATCCGTATTTCCAATACCCTCCCCACTTTCATTCCATTCAGCACCCACCCCTAGCCACCCTATAAAATTGAGAAGTAGGTGTTAATAGATAAGATGTTAATAGGTGTATAAATTGTTAGTTCGTTTTAATTACTTTTATTTATTTTTCTTGATTGATTAAAGTTAAAATGTAATCTATACTTTTTAAAATTTATTATGTATATTTGCTTTTTTTTTTTTTTTTTTTTTGATTAGTCTCTATGGCTCAAAAGCCAATTAATGTATTATGCCCGTCATATGGATTTATCTATACAGCCTAAGAACTTATAAAATTTCCCTTTCCATGTATTCATTGCCTACTGTATTTTTTATATTCTTAACAATTAAGTATCTTTGTTTTAAATTTGATAAACTTGGTAACAGACCATTTAGTAAAATGTTCAAACAATTCGGTCACGTTGGGCATGAGCAAAAACGGGGAAAGATAACCCAGAAAATTTCTTGAGGCAAGAGACACAGAAAAGAGGCCAAGAGAATGAACCCAGAAAATCTCAGAAATTGACTAAATGGATTGAGATCCCTCCACGTTGAAAGGGGTTGAATAAACTATTTATTATAAACTAGATTATCATAAACGGGTTTATTATAAACAGAATATAATATAAACTATTTTACATTACTATTCCGCTGAATAATATTTTCGATGTAGTAAGTAAACAAGTGGGTTTAAATACAGATAGATAGACATGGAACAAAATTTGTTCGTTGATTATTAAATAGTAAAAAGCAAGTGGACATTTTCGATTCTAAGAAAATTTGGTTAATCTATCGCTCTAGTTACATCGGTTTCCTACCGAATGGAAACAATACAAGCTGAGGTTGCACAATAATCCCGTCTATACCTCGGTTGATTGATGTCAAATGTTTACATGACGGTATGGAGATAATTACCTCGTTCTTTATCTAGGTTAAGACTTATTAACTTCGACTCTAATCAACAATATTTACCTTGGTTCGTTTTGTGTATACATCTAATTTCTGCTATCGACTTAATGAAGTAATAGTGCATTTACGTAACAGAGACCCACCATTTTTCTTATTTGGTCAACATCGATAACAAGCTTTACTTACCAAACACAAGGTAAGAAAGGTGTACAATCTCCTTAGATAACATGGTTCCATACACATAATAAAAAAAAACACTTCAATAGTATCAGAAAAGAAATGTAAAATTTATCTTTACCACAGTGCTGACAACCACAAAACCATTGTATGTACTATCTTTTAGTATCGAACCAACTTCCACTATTTTAAGATATGTTTGATAAAAATATAGAATGCAGAGATAGTCTTCTTCCTAGAGAGGAAACAGAATATTCAGAGATATCGACTGCTAAAGATATAAATAAGAGAGACCAGTACATGAAAAAATCCTCCCCACGGAAATCGGAGCGATCTGGGATCAGATTACGTTAGTTCATGCGTCACCATGAATGGCGGGACAAGTAGCTCTAAGCAATTAGGAAGTCTCGTTACAACAATGAATGGCACAATGTACGAAAACGGCCACGTGGATGGCCAAAAACAACTTGGACAGATTAAATCAAGAAAGATGCCATTGAGCTGCATGAAGAAAAGAAAAAGACCAAGATAGGAAGAAATAGAGAATGCTGGTTGAGGCGGCAAAAGATTTGGCAAAAGGTCCACAGGAAAAAAAATTAAATTAATGCCTCCTGTTGAGCAAATCCGCTACTTAGGACTCCACCTTGACAAACGACTCACTTGGAACCCCCATACCAGACTGAAACGACTAGAAACCGCCCGACGTTTTCGACTACTGCAGCACTTACTAGACAAACGATCTAAGCTTTCAATCAATTATAAACGACTCGTATATATGACAATAATAAGACCTATTTGGACTTACGGAATTGAGCTTTGGGGCTCCACTAAACCATCGAATTCCTCTCGTATCCAATCCTTACAATCCAAAATCC